GAATTTTTATGGGTGTGAGATACAGAAGCAATTTTACTGTATTTCTTGTACATATAAATAAACAATTGTCCCAATACCACATACTGAATAACTTATCTCCTCCCACTGACCTGATCTGCTACCTCTGTAAAAAGTTGAGTTCCCATATGTGTATGGTTCTGCTTCTAAGCTCTCTCTGGTGTTCCAGTGGCTTAAATATATATAAGGTTGCCAGATTTAGCATGCAAAATACATACCATTGTTTATCTGAAATTCCAATTTAACTGGACTTTCTGTATTTTATCTGGCAAACCTATTTGTTTGTCCCTGTGCCTATATTGCACTGTCTTAATTACTATAGATTTCTAATGGGTCATGGTGTCTGGTAGGGCATGTTTCCCTATCTTGTTTCTGGCTTCAGAATTATCTTGGTTATTGCTGGCACTTTTGCTCTTTCCAATACACTTTAGAATCAGCTTGTAAATTTTTTGACATTTACATTATGGGCTAGTATGTCAATTTTTGTAAATGTTTCCTTTACAAAATGCTTGAGAAAAATTTGATTTCTCTAAATGTTGGTGTAGAATCCTATGGTCCATTAGATCAAGATGTTAATTTCACTTTTTCAAGTCTTCTATGTATTTACTGATTTTTTACCTGCTTGATATATCAATTACTGGGAGAGGAATGTTAAGAACTCTCACTATAATGGTAGATTTGTCAATTTCTCTTTGTAATTTGTCGATTTTTGCTTTGTAGGTTTTGGAGCTGTGTTATTAGGAAGCATAAAAGCATATAACTGTGATGCCTTACAGGAGAATTATACCTTTCATCATTCTGTACTGACCCTCATTATCTTTAATAAAGCTTTTTGCCTTAAAGACTGTTTTTTTTCCCTGGCAATAATATAGCTACATCAGGTTTCTTTGTTCAGTATTTGCCTGACATATCTTTTTCTGTCCTTTTACTTTCAACATTTCAATGCTGTTATTTTTCGGTAGTAAATCTTGTTAACTCCATATATCTGGAGTTATTTTTTCCTTTCTCTGCCATTATATTTTAGGCATCTTTTGCAAATCAATCAAATATTGTCTTTTAACAAGTGGCTGGGTTAGTGTTTTTATATTTAGTATAATTTCTTATGTATTTGGAGTTATTTATGCCATTTGATTTTGTCCTTTCTATTTTCCTGCTTTTCCTATGCTCCTCTTTTTTCTAGTTTCTTGGAATCTTATGGATTCTTTTAGGTTTTTTGCCCTTTAAAATCCTTGGTTTAATTCTACCCCTTTGGAAATTATACATTAACTTACTATTATTTTAGCCATTATCATTACATTTTTAAAATAATTTGCTCACTTTATTTTAAAATCATAAAGTTTGCATAGAGGGGAAGGAAAATAACTGAATGTTAACAATTGCTGTCTTAATTGTTTTTAAATGTTTCCTGTGGTTTCTGACAAGTATTCTTCTCTAAGTGTTCTATCAGCCTCTTCAACTCAGAACTGGTCTTAAAAGTGGTCTATTTTTTCAGCTCAAGTTATTGAAGTATACTTTACATATAGTCACTCTGGCTCTTCTTAGGTGTTCAGTTCTATAAGTTTGACAAAGCATACAATTGGTTGGCATCCTCCACCACAATGGAGATATAAACATTTATTATCATCTGGTAAAGTTCAATCTCCTCTCCCCTTCCACCTGTCTCTGACAATCTCTGATCTTATTTTTATCCCCATAGTTTAATCTTTTCCAGAATGTCATAGAAAAAGATCATATAGTAAATATTATTTTTTTGGGTGGGGGTCTGGCTTATTTCGCTAAGCATAATTATTTTGAAATTCACCCATGTTGTAGCTTACAACAGTACTTCATTTTGTAATTGCCAAATAATACCCTATTGAATGAATATACTACATTTTGTTTATCCATTTGCTTTTCCCCCACTTTTTTCTATTATAAATAATGCTGCAGTGAACATTTGTGTACAAGATTTTGTGTGAACTTATGTTTTATATCTTTGGGGATTTTGTCAAATCTGAAGACTGCTTTGAGTAATATTGCTATCTCAACAATATTAAGTTTTCTAACCATAAACAAGGAAGGAATGTCTTTCCATTTATTTAGGTCTTCTTTAATTTTTTTCAGCAATGTTTTGTAGTTTTCATTGTACATATCTTTCACCTCCTTGGTTAAATTTATTTCTGGGTACTCTATTTCTTTGAATGCTATTGTAAATCAAATTGTTTTCTTAATTTCCTCTTCAAATTGCTTATTGCTCGAGTATAGAAATACAACTGATTTTTGTGTGTTGATCTTATACTCTGAAACTTTGTTGAATTAGTTTATTAGCTATAGTAGCTTTTTTTGTGGATTCTTAGGGATTCTGTATATATGACCATGTCACCTGTTAGTAGAAATAGTTTTAAGTTTTCCTTTCCAATTTAGATTCTTTTAATTCTTTTAATTAATTCTCTATTTGCCTAACTGCTCTGACTAGAACTTTCAGTACTATGTTAAATAGCAGTGGTGAAAGCGGACATCCTTGTCATGTCATCGATCTTAGGTAGAAAATTTTCAGTTGCTCACCACTGAGTATAACGTTAGCTTTGAGTTTTCTATAAATGTCCTTTATCATGTTGGGGAAGTGCCCTTCTATTTCGAGTTTTCTGAGTGCTTTTATCTTAAATGGGTGTTCCATTTTGTCAATGCTTTTTCTGCCTCAATTGAGATGATTGTGTTTTTTTTCCCCCTTTTTTCTATTAATGTGGCATAGTACAGTTATTGATTTTCTTATGTTGAACTATCCTTTATTCATGGGATAGATCTCACTTCGTCATGGTGTATAATCCTTTCACCATGCCATTGGATTTAGTTTGCTACTGTTTCATTCAGGATTTTGCATCTTTATTAATAAGGGATATTGGTCTATATTTTTTTGCGGTATCAGAGGAATACTGGCCTTATAGAATAAGTTAGGGAGTATTCCCTTTTCCTCTTTTTTTGGGGAAGAGTTTGAGAAAGATTGGTAATATTTTTTTAAATGTTTGATAATAATCACCAATGAAGTTATCTGGTCCTAGGCTTTTCTTTGTTGGGAAGTGTTTAATTACCAATTCAATTTATTTACTTGTTACAGATCTGTTGAGATTTTCTTTTCTTTTCTTTTTGAGTCATTTGTGGTCATTTGTGTTTTTCTAGGAATTTGTCCATTTCACCTAGGTTATATAACTTGTTGGCATATCATTGTTCATAGTATTCTTTTATAATACTTTTTATTAAATTTCTGGAAGGTCAGTGGTAATGCCCCCACTTTAATTATTGATTTCAGTTGTTCAAAGCTTCTCTCTTTTGTCATTCTAGCTAAAGATTTGTCAATTTATTGGTCTTTTCAAAGAACCAATTTTTGGTTTTGTCAATTGTATTGTTTTTCTATCTTCTATTCACTTATCTCTGTTCTAATATTTACTCTTTCTTTCCTCTACTATGTTTGGATTTAGTTTGCTCTTTTTTCCCTGTTTCCTTAAGGTGTAAAAGTATGTTACCAATTTGAAATCTTTTTCATTTTTAATGTAAACATTTATAGCTATAAATTTCCCTCTGGGTACTGTTTTCACTTCATCCCATAAGGTTGTTGTGGTATGTTGTGTTTTCATTTTCATTTGTTTCAAAGTATTTTCTAATTTATTTTGTAATTTTTTTACCCATTGATAGTTTAAGAGGGCATTGTTTAATTTTCACCAACTTGTGAATTTTCTAGTTTTCATTGTGTTATTGATTTCTAGTGTCATGCCATTGTGGTCAGAAAAGATACTTTGTATGTTTTTGATCTTTTAAAAGTTTTTGAGGCTCATACTGTGACATAAAGGTCTATTCTGGAGAGTGTTCCATGTGCACTTTGAGATGAATGACAAAATAAAAGCACAGCATACCAGGACATATGCAATGCAGCTAAAATACTTTAAGAAGGAAATCTGTAACTCCACTTACATTGGAATCCCACTGTCTACTCCTCTGATTGTACTTTCCCATTCCTTAGAGGTAAACACTCTATTGAAATTGGTTTTTTTGATCCTCGTGGTTTTCTTTATACTTTCATTACCAATGACTGCATCTCTAGTCAGAATGGATCTCATAATGTAGGTGTCCTTGCACTCCTTACTATTGTTACACCACCTTATGTTTCTGAGATGCTCTATGTGCAGATTCCTGTAGTTATATTTCATTGATGCTTCACCACTGTGCATGATTCCAATGATTATACCACCATGTATTTTTTTGGTGTTCTATTAATGGGCATTTCCCCCTAAAGATTTATTATCACAGTGTATCAAAGAATATTCTTGTTATTTGTTTCCTTGTGCTCACCTGTCAATTATTTTTTCACATTGTGTACCAAGGTTGTGCAATTGCTGGATCATTACGTAGGATCACACTCAGCTTCACTACATACTTACTAAGAGTTACCACATTGCTCTTCAGAGTGGCTGTACACTCACCAGTAGTACCTGTCATTTTCATTTGCCCAAATCATGCATCTAAAGGGGAGGTTGCATTTCTGGTTCCAAACTTGGGCTCTGGAGTCAGGCAAACAGGGGCGATGATGATGGTTTTGTCTCTTAGTGGCTGAGTGAGCCTAAGGAATCTACTTAACTTCTCTCAGCCTCACCTTCTTGAGGTTTAGAAAGAAATTCTGACTCCTACCTCAAGGGATCGTTGTGAAGAGTTCAGGAAGAAATCTTTGTAAAGATTCCAACATGTTATTTGGTGTATCATCCACAATGCCAATGTTTGCTTCCTTCCCATCCCAACTGTTCCAGTCTTTGACAGGGATGAGGTTTCTTACCTCGATAGCATCACCACGTTTTAGTGAATATTTGCCAATGCAAGAAGAAGGGAAACACACATACTCATCTGTTTAACATAGGTATTTCAGTGCCATCTCTGTGACACGCGGTGTTATGGAGCCGCGCTGGGGCAAAGTCCTTATCCTTTCCATGGAACAATTCTGCTTTTTCTGTCCTCAGTTGGTGCCCTCTATATTCGCATCAGGACTGCACATGACCTGGGTGTCTGGGAAGATCTTGATGCCCAGGAAGAGGTGACTGGGGATCTACTGGGAGGAACACTGGAATGCGCGTCAGGAGCTCTTCCTGGGACTCAATGCCTGGGCCATCCCAGGGTAAGTTCCTTCCCCTGCATGTCCTACACTGTCACATGGGTGTTCACTGAGCATCTGTCACTCTTCACACCTTCGGTGGCCCAGGGGCTGCAGAGGTCACGGTAATGGTTTCACAAGGTCCAGGTCCTTGTGGAACTTATGGTAACCTCTGTAGAACCTCCTTCATATATAAAGAGGAGGAAGGGCTCACTGGAGTCGTCAGAGACTCCCTGAAGATGAGCTGGGCCTGGCACAGTGGGCAGGACTAATGGAAGCTGGATGGGAGGGAAGAGATGGGGAGTCCAGCCCGACTGGTGAAGAGTGGGGGCTCTCAGGTGAGCAGACATGGCTCAGAGGTAACTGATTGGACACACCAGGGGGCTGAGACCATCCTGGGTTAGGAACAATTGCAGGATTATTACATATTTGCTTCTTTGTGATATTACACAATCTTCTAGGAAGTCTGGGTGAGATCAAAGCCTTGCCTGACCTGGGAGATACTTGGCGAGAGGCATGTCCTCCTACCGCTACCTCCCCACCACCTTTTCTGACGCAGGCTAGGGTACTAAGAACAGCCAGGCATCACTTCTTCTCACTTTATTTTATTTTGGAGGGGTGGGGACAGTGTCTAACCTTGTCTGCTCCAGATCTGAGGTTCCTGCCTTTGGATATGGCCATTGAAGAGGTATAAAATGTTTGTATCCAACCACTGGCTTTCTTCAGCACAAGAGTTATAGGATGATGGTATGACAAGGGGCTGTGAACAGAGGGAGATTCTGGGATCATTAAAGGCATGATGTCACTCAAGGCTTATGAGAAGCCATGTGGGATCAATGGAATCTATATTTAGGAAGATTAGCAGTTATGCAGTACTTTGGGGTTAGGGACCACAGGCAGGGATCCCAGAGTATGTGATCAGTCAGAGATAAATTCCAGAACAAAATATTGGGAGCAGAGGGTAACACAGGATCCAGAGGTATTCTGGGTGAAGGCACACAAACTAGTTGGAGATGAGGGACGGAAAAGGGCATCATCATGGCCACTCCCCCTGGAGACTTGCAGCTGCTTCTGGGCCTCCTTCCTCACAGAGGCTGCTGGGCCCTGAAAGGGGACATGAAGCGGGGCCTACCACGCATTCCACCAGCAACCTTTGTAAGATGTGCACCTTGTTGGAGGTGTCCATGAACTGGATGCCTCTGTTCATAATGAGCAGGAAAAGAAGAAATGTACAGGAAATAATGCCTTTTCATGGAACTAAGCCCACATGAATTCCACAGCCTTATCTTTCCATAAGCAGAGTGTACCAGGACCCAGGGAAATGAACAGAGCAGCTGCCTCTGGGCATTTCTCTCATTACAGTTAGGGAGAATGGACACCACAGAGACCCATGGGATGTCTCAGTAAGAGGGCATTAGGAATAAAGTATTATGGGATTTGGGCTTGTGTTAGGTGATTTTGGAGAGGGTTCCAGGAAATGGAAAGATGGCAGGATGGGGCACTAAGCTTCCCAAGCCTCAGGCCTCCAATCCGGGGATTGAGCAGAGGACCTTCCCTCATAGGGTCCTTGTTTGGCATTTGATGAAATCACAAGGGCAGTGTAGGTCACACAGGTGTTTTGGCCTCAGGCACGCCTGGGATGTGAGGCTCAGCCTCCTCATCTGTAAAGAGGGAAACACCATGTGGACTCTGCAGGTATGTCAAGAGATTCAATATTATCACATAGATTAAAAGGTAAGTCAGTGTAGGGCGCCTGGGTGGCTCAGTCATTAAGCATCTGCCTTCGGCTCAGGTCATGATCCCAGGGTCTTGGGATTGAGCCCCACATTGGGCTCCCTGCTCAGTAGGGAGTCTGCTTCTCCCTCTCCCTCTGCCTGCCGCTTCCCCTGCTTGTGCTCTCTCTCTCTGTCAAATAAATAAATAAAATCTTTTAAAAAAAAGATAAGTCAGTGTCATATTATGCACACAGTTAATAAGAATAGAGAGAATGATTATATGTCACCAGAGTTTAATAGAGAATTTTGCTTGCTTCAATTTTCCCTCTTTTCCAAGTTCATTTATATATTTTGGAAATAGATTTTCAACAGTATTCCACAAAGTAAATCGTTTAAACTTTCAAACCCACAGTTGTACCTCTGGGAGGTTCCTGTGGTCCTTGCCATGGAATACCGTGTCTGGTAAAAAGAAGAGATTCGTTTAGGAGTTCTCATGGGACCTTTTAGAGGAGGTAACATCAGTCCATAGCCTCCACAACTTCTCTACAATACCCGCCCCAGTTGTTCTCCATGGAACAACTCTGCGGTTCCACTGCTCAACTGGCCCATGTCCTGGGCATCCCTCTCAAAAAGTGCAAGAGGTTGGGACATCTGGGTGGCTCAGTCGGTTAAGCATCTGCCTTCAGCTCAGGTCATGATCCCAGGGTCCTGGGTTCGAGTCCCGCTTCAGGCTCCCTGCTCAGAAGGGACCCTGCCTCTCTCTCTGCCTGCCGCTCCTCCTGCTTGTGCTCAGCTTCTCTCTCTCTCTTTCTGACAAATAAATAAATAAAATCTTAAAAAAAAAGTGCAAGAGGTGAATCCTGGGGCGAAGCTTCAGATAGGACATTTGAAAGCTCTAGAGTCTTCAGTGCATTGTATGAAGCCACATAGCCTGTGAGACTTTTGGAACACACTCTCATCGGACTCCTTGCAAATGAAAAAGTGTATCTGGAAATGGTGAGCTGGTGGAGTGACTAGATGATTAAGGATAATCAAACCATTATCTGTGTCTGAGGAAACTTCCCACAGGAAGTGAGGTTTAAACTGAGACCTGAGGGAGGCTAACCAGGGAAACTAACCAGGGAAAGAGGGGAGCGGAGAGCTAATCTGAGACCCCAGCCAGGTATCATGGTCAGGGAATACTCCAGGACTTGGTTTGTCCGTGAGGAAATCCTGTGTGGAAATCCACTACCCAGCAGTTGGGCATCTCTGGAAAATTGTGTGTAACTTCACAGCGTAGTTGTAGAGGGGCCTGAACCTCTTTTCCCTTTGCTCTGATCCCAGACCTGTAATATGATTTTCATCTGTGGAACCATAGAAAAGAAGAGAACTGCTGAGTAGTGTGATTTAATCATGATTTTGTTTTATATACTCTTTTACAACTCACAATGCAAAATAACTTTTAATAGGTACTTTTTCCAAATAATAAAAAATTGGAGATTAGTGTCATCTAATGATAAAATCCAGAATGGTGGCTTGGACATCATTTACCAGGAAAGGAGGGGCTCCATCAGAAAGAATTTTCTGGAAGTTTACTTGAAAATGAAATAATCTAGACAGAGCCCCCAGACATTAAATCACATTAAATCATGTGACAAGAAGTTTTCTTCACCTTCTTCTAGGATATAAAAAGCTGTGTGTGTGTGTGTGTGTGTGTATGTGTGTGTGTGTGTGTGAGAGAGAGAGAGAAAGAGAGATAATGTTAAAATATGTATAGATATATATAGTGAAACACATATGTAAGTGTGGGCATACAGATATAAATTTTGTTAAACTTTCTGTAATCTCGCTTTTAAAATTATGTGTATGTGTATTAAATGTGTGTGTATATATTAATATAAAGATATATTATATTTTGACAATATTTTTATAATCAAATTCCCAATCAGGAATAAACTACAACTTTATCTCACTTTTTTATGATTTCAAAATTATATGTATTTGTTTCAAAATTAAATGCAGTGGAAAAATGTGTATTGCTATTGAAAAAGTTTTTGTTATATTTCTTTGATCCTATTACATAGCAAGATGTCCATACATGGTAATTTAGTTTATATTCTCCAAATATATTTCTGTGTGTATAGTACTGTATAAGTAGGTTCACATGAACATATATATTGTTCTTCTAAATTTTAATCACTACATATATGTGAGTGTGTATATATTTTATAATATGCCTTTTTATTTATATATGTTATACTTATTTGTTCTTTAATCTTATATGTTTGTGATGCAGAACTTTTATTTAAATTATTTCATTGTAGATTTTGAATAACACCCTTCTAGGTATTCAAATTTATTTTCATATTAAGATTATTTAATATCTGCCTGTGAAATATGCTGGAAATCTTTTCCCATAATTCACATTTCCTTAATGTTACTTCTTTTTGTTTTTGGGTAGACAAAGTCTTTTTTAACCTTTTAACCTTTCATTATTTTTTCTAAATAAATTCATAATATAGTTCACTGTAAAAAATTGGAACCAATTAATGTCCATTTGCTACTTAATGATGGTTGTTAATCATTGTTAGTGATTGTTAAAAAGAAAATTTGTGACTTTACTGATACTGAGGGAGTTGAGGATTTTGTCAGGAGAGTATGTGAAATGGTGGATTTTGGAATTAAGTTTGGATGGTAAACAAGATTTTTATGAAAGTGATAACAATGAGAAAGTTAAAATGTTAATGTGAGGAAGAGCATTGGTAATAATGAAACATGAAAAACCTTGGAGGAACAGAATTCATCCTTGAAACTTCTTTTTAGTCCGTATGCCTTTCTTTGCTATTTCATATTTTAGTTGAATATTAAAGAAACAATTTCCCATTAAGTTTGAGAGAGAAGTGATAGTCATGATGAACAGAGGACTGGAATCAAATACCCAGGCCCCAGATTCCAGACCTAGCACCGATCATTAGACTTGTAGTGAGTCACTTGCCCCCTGTGCTGGCCTCTGTTCTAACACACAATTATCCTCCATATAGAGATAAGTCTTTACTCAAATGTCACCTTCTTCAGAGAACTTTTATGACTGCACTACTTAAAAAAATTCAGCCCCACCCCGTTCCAGGCACTCCCTCTCCCCTTTCCCTGCATTACTTTTTCCAAAATAAAAATGATAGGAAAAACTAAGGTAGTGCTCACTTATGTGTTCATATGTACTAACACATTTATTTCTCACATCAAGGGAAGTACTATTATTATTACCATGATTATTATTATTGTTATTATATCCATCTATGAGATGAGGAAAGGTAGGCACTGAGAGGTTTA